CCCCCTCTCTCTCTCTCTCTCTCTCTCTCTCTCTCTCTCTCTCTCTCTCTCTCTCCTCAGGCGTCTGTCTGTATAATCTTATTGCACGTGTTTGTTGGCGGGGGCCGTCCTTCTCCAGGAATCATATCCTGGCCCATTCCGCCATTGCCATTAGCGAGGGGTCCCCACTCACCAGTCGTTCACGTCCGACTCTCTTCAACTCGCCAACTCGTTGTATGCACCTGTTTTGGGAGTAGGGGGCCCCTCGGCCATAACTTAAAGCGTAAACGCGAGTGATCAATTCATCTGAGCGTCAGGTTCGTCTTGTCGAATCAAATAAAAATTTAACCCACCGGGCAAAGACGTCAGGAGTTTTCCGAGCGGCTGCTGCTTACGGAGCGCCCCCAAGGCCGTGCCCCGTCCCGTGCCGTTGACCGGCGCGCCACGCCGCGCCACGCCACGCTTCCAGACTTTTTTTAGCTTTAGAAAGGATCCGGTGAGCCGCTAATATTGCCTCCTGCGACGACGGAGTCTGCGCGGCGCGGTGGGGGTCGGGCGGGGCGGGGGCACTCACACACTTAGCGCCTCCCCTAGCTCGCTGGACCGACTCAACACGAAAAGGACTCATTGTGTTTTCAATCCTGATGACGATTGAAAAGTACGTACATTTTCTTAACGATTCGGGGGAGTACTTGTTATGTGAATATCTTAAAATAAGTGTGGCACACAATGAACCCGGGGTCCCAGTTCGCAGGACACCATGTATTTGCATCTTAATCCGTGTTTTTGGTCACATCTGACTAGGTGCCGAAGAATTGGCCTGACGCCCATACACCCTAAAATGATAACAATTCTATGCCGCCCCATCCTGTATCCAAGCAGCGTGTACGCACGTTTTTGAGTGTGAGTATGGGTTTGAGTCTGCCCTACTGCCCGAAAAGACCGGTCTAAGGTCACTCACAGCCCGTCCCGGTCGCCCCCGGACACGGTCGACGGGAGAGGGGAAGGTGGGAATATTTATCCTCCTGTTTTTATTATCATCATTATTATTATTCTGTACTCTGTCTCTCACCTGCGGCTC